CCGCAACAAGTATTTGGCATTGAAGTACCACTTCTTTAGGTCGAATATCGGGGAGTCGAAGGGCATCGTGGCCAAGTACATTCCGACTCTAGAACAACGAGCCGACATCTTCACTAAGGGTCTGCCAGCTCCACAGTTTGCAGTCATTCGGAAGCTCCTCATGGGATGGTAATCTACCTCAGCACGTTGCTGGGGACTCTCTCCTATTGTTTCTTGCTACAGCTTCATTGCAGCTGTAAGGGAGTGCGACGGGATACAGCTTACAATTCAGCTTTACAGCTTTATAAATTGCGGGCCTATTCTAGAAAATAATCAATAACTGCTCACTTATTTGGAAATACAAACTTTACATCTCTTAGATTGTTAGATTAATCAATCCGCAATGGTATTGTCGCAAACGGGGGTCTTCATGGTGTTGCTGTTGTAGTTGTCGGTGGTCATGGTTGTCGGTGGTCATGGACCACGAGAGCAGCTTGATGATAGAAGAAGAAAACTTCATTTTGCAATTGATAGGTATTGAATAGAAGATTGAAAAGGTAAAAGTAGATTTGAATAAGGTCTGGGGGGTTGATCTGGCCTAGGCTTATCAACAATCGCGAAAGTCTTCCTTGTTCGGTTGGGTATGTAACTCTAGCAATCCGGTTGAACAAAAAAGTGAGCTCAACATGGTGACATCCCATTTTTCCATCCCAAATTTTCAGATGACAGATTCTGCCAGATGGAAAACAACGAGATGAGACTGAGCCACTGATGAGCACTGATTTCATGCTCTATACTACCAAACAACACCCAACAAGACACTTCCTGGGCATCTCAGAGTGGTCTTGATGCTGCTTGGTTGTTGTTGTCTACCTTGATGATGCCAAAGGTGTTTGTCGCTCACCTTCGTCCTCGACGATCTGCTTGACGCATGATCAGATTGAGTGCCACGACTGATGACTCAAAGAATATTTTAATTAATACACGACGGGAGGACACCGAATGGAAAGCATTAAAGCTGAAGTGCACTACCGAAGGTCACTGGACCTCTGTGGAAACTCGAGTCGTGCTATCAATCGTCTCCTAAATCCTTTTTTCATTTCCTATTTAATGGATTTCGTCTCCTAAAAATAGGAGACGAAACGGATCGTCTCTTAAATCTTTCGTCTCCCCTTAAATCGTCTCCTATTTTCAACGGATCGTCTCCTATTCTCAACGGATCGTCTCCTAAGTGTACCATGTAAACTGTATGGTATCGTCTCCTAAATCTTTCGGATCATCTCCTATTTCGAAACGATCGTCTCCTAATTGGAATGTCTCCTGCTGAATCGTCTCCTAAATATAGGAGACGATTGCTTTCGTCTCCTAAATCATTTCGATCGTCTCCTATGCCTCGGTGTATCATCTCTTAAGTATGTTTCCACGAATGACGTTTCCACAGAGGTCCTGTAACAAAGTTAATTTATCGTTTCAAGGAAAATGGAGTTAAGTCCTTTTGGCTAATAGTTGAATCGGAAGGCGTCTGGCACCACCGCCAAATACTAGACTATTAATACATGTAGGTATTTTACCTGGTAATAATTTACTACTCCTATTAACCATGGGTGAAGGGTGGCTTGCTTGAATGAATTGAATGTTGAACGAGAACTGTAACATGTCAATACCACCTGTCACATAGGCGGAATTAGGACAGGCAGCTGGCGGATTTATCGACGTGAGCGTTGAAGCCTTAAGAGCACTGATTATCAAGGAAGCTTTTTATTAACAAACCTGATGGACGCATTTTACATTCCTTGACACGGATTCCACTCCTCAGCTTGAGAAAGATACCCAAATTGATCTTTCTTTTACAGCTATCGTCATGAAGAAGCTTGAGAGTGTTACTGCCTCCGGCACTTGAACACGTGAACACAGAAAAGATGAAAAGGCTGTTGATATCTTGCGAAGCGTCTCATTTTCTTGGCCTTGTCCAGGTCGGCAGGATCTTTTTCTGTCAGTGAGAATCCTGAAAGCTGCTTGCATGGACGTGGCGCTTCAGACTCCAACGGTACCTTTTACTAGCTAGCTAGTAGATAGATGTCCAGCAACCCAGTGGAAGAAGGATACCAATACGACTGTACGCACCCATCTCTCATCTATTCTCTGGATCTCTGGTTGCATTGGCACCCATCCATCAACCTACAAGTTTGTTGGCAGCTACCCTTCATTTATTTTTGGGCTCTGAGTTCTTGAGGTCCCATTCTCTTCCATTTTTTTCTTCCAAGAACGAATAATAATAAAATAAACATCCACCATGGGCGCCTGCATGAGTTCCCAGGAAATGCTGATTGCCACGACGGACGGCGATGTGGAATCCTTTCACAGCAAGTTTATCGAAGACGTCAAGCTGGGCGAAGGAGAATTTGGAGTGGTCAAGCGAGTCTTTGCCACGTCGGACACCAACAAACAAACTCCCTTGGCCTGCAAGACATTGAAAAAGGGCATGACCTTCAAGGACAATCAACTCTACCCCGCACTGCCTCCCGAAATGCTGCGGGGAGAAATTGACATGTTGCGCGCCTTGAAAACATCCGTCAATGAAAACCCCAATTACTGTCTGCAGCTCCATTCCATTTACGAATCACCCAAGGTCATTCTCATGGTGACGGAACTCTGTGGTGGAGGAGAAATGCTCGAGTATGTCGCCAAGCAGGATCAACTGAGGACCGAAGATATCTCCCGCATTGCCTTTCAGTTGATCACCGCCATTGACTACTGTGCCAAAAACAGAATTCTTCACAGAGACTTGAAGCCCGCCAACATTATGTTTCATTCGGATTCTCCCAAGGCACAGCTCCGTGTCATTGATTTTGGAGCTGGAGTGCAAGATATGGAAGAGAACAAGATGCATACAACCTTTGCAGGAAGTGAGTTCTGCAAAGAAAATGAAATTATGTATCTAATGATCATACCCATCTCATCTTTTCCCTGCTCAATCCCAATTTTCTTTTTCTTCTTACGTACAGCCCCCTTTTACAACTCCCCCGAGATTTTCCAACAAAAGTACACTCAGAAAACCGATGTCTTTAGTGTCGGCGTCACCCTCTACGTGCTGACATCGGGATATCCAGCCGATTCTTTGCAAAAAGCATTCAACTTGCTACAGAAATCCAAACGAGACCTCAAAAAGCTTCCCAACATGCCACAAAACATGCCCGAATCATTCTACGATCTACTTAATGGATTGTTGGTATACCATGCCAAGAACCGAAAGACGGCAGGTGAATTACTCAATCATCCCTTTGTCACATTCCACCAACAATTGGAACAAGAAGAAGCTGAAGAAGCTGCCGACACGGTGGTCGGGGCGCTGCCCACGACGCCTGTACCCAACAAACGTCCGTCCATGCTCAAGAGTCAATCCTTTTCCGTCAATGGCGCCGTCGAACGTCATACCCTCATGCTCAGTTATCAATCCTTTGAACGATCGCTCACCACATTGTTGGCCACCATGTTGTCACAGCCCGATTTGTCACGGCTCTTGGAGTTGGTGCAAAAGGCACAAGTGGCAGTATTGATTGAAGAAGAAGGAACCGAACACACCACGGGCAGTGCCAGTGAACAGGCTGCGCCTCTCGAACCCGATCAGTTGGGGGTCATTTCTTTGAATCGTCTCTACGAGATTGTCAAGACCGATTTGAACAATGAGGATGTGTAAGTACAGTTGTAGTGACAACAAGTCGTCGTGACGGTACCTATCGAATGGTACTGTTCTCGAAAGAGCATCTTCTCACTTTTTCACGTTTTGCAATGACACAGTATCAACCGGGCCAAGAGTCTTCCCAATGCTTCCAGCTACATTAAATTTGCCTATCATACGGCCCTCTTGCAAGATTTTGTCAAACCAGCCTACCAAAACAACAACACGTCTACAACCAAGGAAGTGGACGTGGACGACATGGAATTTGACGGTGGAAAACTGCGTCGGCATAGCCATATGAACAACAATAAACGTCTTGCTTCGCTTGGTGGAGGATCGAGTGGATCCACCATGTCGTCCATGAGGGACTTGTCAAAGTGGTCCGCGGATGCCAAGGGCAGCGGCTCCGTTCGTGGAGGTGGTGCCATGAGTCGTTTGGGAGTGTCCTTCCGAAAGGGACCCCGTGGTGGAGGCATGAACCGTGCACAATCCGTCATGATTGCGGGTGTCTAGCTCTGTTGTCTGCAGACCCGATTCGACAATTTTACAAGTTTTGCACTTGGAAGTGTTTTGGTTTTGTGTCCACGCTTGTTGCCCCAAGTTTGCATGGCTTGCTCTTGAAGATCAAGCCACAAAGGCTATGGATGGATTGATTGATCATATTTTCATTACTACTGCTTCTGTTGTTCAGCTAAAACCTTTGAACTCATAAAAGAAATACTGTTTTGCTTTTGCACGCCGTTTCTTTATACGTGTTGATCATCCGTATCTCGCAGTGGCCTCCCAATCCAGGTAGATCGTATTTGTGTGCAACTGTAGGCTGTCTCTGGCGCGGTTGTGTGATCAACATTGGGCTACATCACCATGCCGGCAACAGCTTTTCGGAAGGAAGCAAGCTGAGAGGAGTTGTGGAGGTGTAGCTGGATCAATCACCCATATCATAGGACCTTTTTCAACAGCAACAAAAATTTGTTTGGTGCCCTGTCGTTGCTACCTATTGCACTGGCATTGATTGGTCCTCCAGCACTTTCTTCTGATCCACACCCGCTGTTAGTGCCTTTGTCTTCTTCGAGTCGGCGCTTTCTTTGTAGTTCTTTGTTGTCAATGGGTATGTCGGCGACAATGGTGATGCAGCGGCCGTGGCCAAGACGGTAGGGGTGCCACCACCAAAGGGTAGGCAACTCAAGGGCCGGACGGGCAAATCGGCATCATTATTTTGAAATGATGTAGGAATTTCGTTGATTGTTGTGGCTAATCCGTCCGTGTAATCCGCCAATGCATCCAGCACTCGATACTTGCCTGGCTGATCGTCTGTTTGCTGATATTTGAGGACGAGTGGAACGCCAGTGGGTATTTTCATTGCCTCTAGCTTTTGCAAGGCGGATGGGTTCTCTTCTACCCGACATAGTATCCCAATCAATGCCCGCAGCGAATTGGCATGTGCCACCACCAAACCAGTTCCACCAGCATGTTCGGATGACGACGAGTCCACACATAGTTGCTGCTTCCGAAGAGCAGCTTGATTTAAGAGTGGCGTCAATCGTTCGTCCAAAAAGGGTTGAATACGATCCGTGGCCACCATGGCCAAGGACTCCCCTCGCGGTACATTCTCCGGTCCATCGCAAAAATGTTGGAACTTTTGTATTTCTTGGATCCGTTGCGGATCCTCGTCTTGGAGGAGTGGTGGAATGGCATACCATGCTCGCCTCCAGTCTCGTACTTGTTTTGGGTCATGTCCGTAAATACCATTTTCGACGTCTTGCTTGACAAATCCCTGCAAGGCGCCGTAATGTCGTTCATTCAACCGATAGTCCGTCACGTATTGTCGTGGTTGTTCGTGGTTGGGTTTTTCGGCAAATCCCCACAAACAGTAATGAGCCGTCAATTGGGCTCGACTCAAAATGGACGTGCAGCAGACATCAATGCCCAACGAATACAAGGCCGACAATTGTTCTCCCGTGGCCTTGGCTTCCTTGATACCCTTTTGCGACAAGGGGACATCACTCCAGCCGGTAAAGGTTTCCTGACAACCTGGTTCTCCGCCATTCCAAATGGAGTCTCCGTGGCGACATAGAATCAACGTGTGAATGGGAAATTGGTTGGAAGGACTCTTGTGGGAAGGAGTGGCGTCAAAGTGGTTGTGGCTCCAACCATGACACCCCCCCAGTAGCACTACAAGCAAAACGAATACCCTAAGATCCATTCGCCCGACCATAATTGAGCAGCGCCAGGAAGAAGAAGTCTTCATGGCTGTAGTGCAGTCGAAGGCACTGGTTGTCCTTGGTTGCTATGATTGTATCATTGAATGCATCGCTTCGCAGCGTACCGGTGGCAGCGAACGGGAAGACAAGAGAAAAGAAGACGTGGTCGAACACGTACCACTTTTCTCGCGGGAATGGTCTCAATCACAAGCCGGGACCACAGTGTGACAGCCTCCGGTTATGCATAGTTAGATGTTTCAGCTGTACAAGAAGGAGGAGAAGAAGTGCAACCGGAACAGTGAGAAACGGAAAGGCACAGAGAGGCACAGGGTTTCCTGGTCAATGAAAGGCTTCCTCTCGAACTGGTGCACTGGTCAGGTTGTAAAATTTAATGGTTGGATACCGACACAGACATGATGTGGATCGGCAACTGAACGTCAAGGAGATTCGATTCGATTCGATTGAACTTCCCGAACAGTCCTAGCGTCCTAGCTAGCTAGTGTCAAGTGCCAAGTGCCAAATGAAGCAAAGGGAGAGGAAGCACCCGAAATGGAAAGGAAGAACAACCTGAAGGATACAGCATACAGCACTTTCATTCATACCAGCTGCGTCGCGTCTGGCATCTGAAACTGGCGAGCAGACGCACAGCGTATCGTAATAAGGTCGTTGCTCCCTACTAGATCTAGCTAGACTATTCGCCATCTGGCCAAAGCGGTCGATCATCTGGCTAATTGCGCCTGGGGAACGGCACTCAACAGCTGCTGTTCCACAACCAATGATTGATCATTCCAAAGATTCGAGCATTTGATTGATTCGATTCAAGATTCGATTGAATCGAATGAATCATTCGAATCGATTCATCATTCTTCCACATTCTGGGCGGAACTTGAAGATTCAAGGTCTTTCCCTCTTAAATCACATCTCGTCCCGACAAGACCAAGACTTAGTAGTTAGTTGTTGGAACAACATGCTATGCTCTTCTCCATCTCACAGTTTAAATGAACCAACTCACAGGGAACCAATGCATTAAAGCTTCACCAATGGATTGACACAAATAAATGGGCTTTGTAACTCAGGGTTCCTTATTATTGGTCCGAGGTCCGAGTAAAAAGATTCATTCGTCATGGTCACAATTTATTTTGCAAAGTGAAATCCAGAGAGAGGAGAGAGATGCAAACAACTGTTGCCAAACTGCTGGCAGTAACCTGCGCACACTCATCAAAAAATAACATTGCACCTACCCAGAGTTGATAGTAGAATTCGTTTGCGCCCTTTCGGAGGAAACGCTGAAGCCATTCGAACTCTACTAGTCCCTTGATTGTCCACACATGAACTCATCCCTTTAGCTCCGCCTCCACCCACACACGACTACATCTATTCTGGCTTTGGCAGCCGGAGATGACATCAATCTCCTCATCACGTTGCTAATAACACTACTACGGGTATCTCCAAGATGCCGTTTTATTGGATGGCCGTAAAGCCATGGGTCTCTGACATGAGAAGAGTTGCTTGCATTGAGATTGCAGGCAAGAACAAGAAGCTCATGGACTTGTCGGATGTCAAGTCTGTCAATGATCTGATGCTCAAAAAGGCCATGCCCATTCGAAACATCACCTTCAAGTATGCCAAGGCTGCACCTGAGAAAGACAAGAGCAATGCAGGAGACTACAAGCTGGAAGCACCCCTGATTGGCCACAATGAAACTCTGGGAGAAACCTTGGAAAGAATGAAGCGGATCAAAAAGGCCAAGAAAAATCAGTGCAGACGATCTTCCTCTGGAGGCAAAGCGGCCAAGCATCATCATCATACTCATCATGAGAATCATCACAAGCAGCAGGCCAAGACTCCGTTTGGTACATGGCGACCCAACAGCAAAGGCAAGGGCAAAGGACCCGAAACACATACCAGTAGTGAACGGCTGACACCTACCGAATTGAAGAGTCTATTGCAATCCTCAGAAGAAGAACAAGAAGAAGCCAAGATTCAACACGTCAAGAGACCCTCACTGCCTGTGCTACCCTCTGAGCGACTACGCGCGGGCAATGAAACCACAGAGCCATTGTTCCTTTCTGAGCTTGGGGCGGATCTAGTCAAAGTGGAAGAACACATTAGTGATGTAAAAGAAGACAAAGAAGAAGGCGATGAAGATGACGAATCCATAGATTCCACCATGGAAGTTGTGGAGGGTGATATAGAAGAAGGTCACGATGACCACAGCATTGTGGATGCTCCGGTGGAAGATGATGATGATGACGAAGAAGAGGAGGAGGAGGAGGCCAAACAGGCGGCACAAGATCACCAGCAGATTCTCCCAACAATGCATGTCAGTCAACCAATCGAAAGAGAAACGACAGCAGAAGACCAAAACGATTCCGCCATGGACACCAGCGTCACCTCTGATCTCACCAATTCCTTCAGGTCCATCGTTCTCCCTCCGATTGCATCCCATGATGAAGATTACTACTCTCCCTCGCAATCTCGTACGAAAAGCTGCATGAGGGTCAAGACCATGAAAGAATCCGTGCAAAGGGATACATCGCCCTCGCACTCGAAACGCACCAGCCTTGATTCCCCTCCTTCCGCTCCCTTCCGACGTTCCTCCTTGTCCAGCTGCGACCAAAGCAGTACTTCCGCAAGCAGCATCAGCAGCAGCCCGGATGACGACCGTAGTGACAATTTCTACGAGTATTACGCCACCATGTTCAATGGCAGTAAGGTTGTGGATGTCAACGACAGTAAGGTCCTGCAGCCGCGACGAGAACTCCACTGGGGCCACATTGAGATTCGCGAGTATGATATTTGCCTCGGTGACAATCCAGCATGTGCTCAGGGTTGTCCCGTTCAGCTGGATTGGAGCTACACCGTACTACAAGAGCCTCTGGCCTTGGATCTCTACGTGAAGCAACGTCCACATACAAGGCATCAACGGTTGCGTCGTCTCTCCGGTCGTCGACGCCAACAAATGTTGCTGGATCTGGGATACTCACCCGATCAGATGAAAAATGTCATCAATGCCAAACTGTTCGATCAAAAGAAACGAATTCAGACCGTGAGCCGCCTGAAGTACATGAAGTTCGATGAACAAGTCGAAAAGATTGTGCGAGTATTTCCACAAGTAGTGTAAGTTCATGTAGACTTTGTAATAAGACCATGGCTTGCATCTCGAGCTTTCGTGGCGTCGTACTTTCGGAGATGTATGATTTGATTCCATTCGTCGAAACTGACCCCACTACATGTAGCTTGATTGAGCTAAGTAACGGGTGCTGTACTGGATCAGCCAAGCATATCTTCCAGATTCCTTCCGACTGCATCGTTCAGGCTTCTGCACAGATGTACATGTACGGTACGCGAGCTACAAGGGAAAGGCAAATCTGCTTCCCGAGGGCGAAAGCTTTGCCTTCGAACGATTGAGAGGTGGGAGCGTGGGAGCTGAGGTGGGCGAGAGGGGGAAGTTAAAGGACAGAAGGGCAGTGCACACACACAGTCTGTACTCGATTACTCTTTTGAAAGGGACGTTGAGATATAAAAGACAAATGAGTCTCACGTCGCACATCTCGGACGCCACGCATTCCACATTCCACCACTCATTGCTCATTGGCTTGGCTACCGGTACATGATGCCAGCTGCCGGGTCGAGTTGGGTTAGGGGCGTGAGCATACGGTCGTACCGGTACCAGGTACATGCATTTCCGGCTGCAATTCACCGAGGCCAAAGGATTTGACCTCTGATGTTCCAGCAAGCAGCAGCAAGAAGACTTGAAGAGCGAGATTGCAGCACACAATGCCTTCGTTAAGAAACAAACAAACAGTGGCAACCCAAAAGCAATCCGTATGCTTCGATTCATAATCACCCTTCTCCTTGTGGCTTTGGTCGACCATGGAGTCCAGGCAAAGCACCCCTCTTTGATTGCTACATCTGCTAGCGATGTTTTGATGAACAGCAGCAGAACTGGCGAGATCCACCAAACCTTGCACAAGGGCACTCCAAAAGATGGAACCACTATGCCTTATGAAGCAATGCCGGATCAGCCCCCTGATGGCGGATGCCCTGGATTGAATGCAACAATGCAAGGACATATTTGCGGCGAAAGTGGTGTTCTACCGAGCGAATTGAGTTGGCGTGGTGATACCGACCCAGACTTGGCCCGTAGGGTTGCCTTTCTAGTTCTGACAGAGGCAGCGCTGTTTCTCGCTTGGTTTGGGGTGTATAAGATTGTGACTTTCTGACTTGTTCTGCCAGGAGTTCTTGGCATAACTAAGCCAATCAGATTAACTTGTGAATTACAAAGTCCCCGGAGGGACTAAGGTCTAATCAATCCGGCTACCCGTCCTGTCGAAGATTGAATTGGAGTATCATTCTTGCAATCTGCCAGCGCATGAAGATGTGTCGCTCTCGAGAGGAGGAGCGAATCCAGTGTCCGGTAGCCAATATCTAGGTTAGCAGGTTGTGGATGTGCCTACTGAAATTTGCTTCATCTCGTAGAGATTCCTCTGAGGAGGCAAAGATGGAGCGAGGGAGAGACCATTAGGCTTCAAACTGTCACCTAGCTTTGTGTGCAACAAGGCACGGCGAACTCCATGACCTGGCACTAGACCTGTGCTCTTCAGAACTGTGTGCTGCCGCTAGCCTGGCTCCTATTGAGCGAAGCTGCTTGCACCTATCTTTGTGCAACAACCGACGGCGACCTCCATGAGAGGTGCGCCCTTCAGAGAAGGTTGGAATGCATGTTTCACATCAGGTTGTCACTCTGGTTGCTCTGGAGCTGCCACCAGAACTGTCTGCTTGCTCTCAGCCTGGTTCCTATTGAAGCTGCTTGTATGACGTGCGTTTCGGAGTTCAGCAGCCTCTCTGGTCTCGCGCTCTAGTGCCCATACAAGCTTCCTAAAACAGTAAACCAACCGATTCATATTGCTTTCTAGCATTGTGGCTGTATTCAAAACTGTCACCGATCGTCCAGCGCTGGTTCTACCAGCAGGGAACAGATCGATCAATAAATATCATCGTTTGCAAAAGCGTCATCCGATGGAATGTACGTGGTGGATTCCCCATTTTCATAAAAGACAAAGGAACGAGGAATGTGCCCTTGCAGGCACACACGTTCGGCAACGTGGTAGAGATATGTTGCTTCTTCCCGCGTGGGCAATGGCAGCCGTCGATGTCGGACAGGTGCCATTCGTCGCGCATCGTTCCACAAGGATTCCATGTCATCCAATGCTGTTTTTCGCGATGGCAACTTGCCATAAATGGTGCAGTAGACGACACAACCCTGCAAATAGGTTCCATGTGGCGAGGCATGAATACGGTCCACATGAAAGAGTTTGGCCTTCCAAAACTCGTATGATTCTTCCCACACCGTCAAAAAAGCCAGACCAACGGGCGCAATACGTGGTTGTTGCTCCTCCGGCAGTCGTTGTGACAGCAATGCAGCGTACTGACGGTATCCTTCATACGTCAGGCTAGTAAAGGTTGGGATATCAATGTCGCCATCTTGATCATCACGAAATCCATCCATATCTCGGTACGGCGTATCATAGGCATACGTGAACATGAGAATTGGAATGGACTTTGTTTCTTGGAACCAAAGTAGATATTGCTGTTCCAAAATGCTGAGTGTATCCTGTCGGTGATAGTAGTTTGCTGGACTGCGTGTATTGTCATTCAGAATGATGTAGTCCCATTGTGGTGCTGTAGGGTACAAGTTGTGTCGATCTAAATCGTCTTGAGCATTGTCGTCCCCTTGTCCATTGTTTTGAAAGTTTTCATCATCTTGGTTGTTACTATCGCCACCCCAGTACAAGTAATTACGATAGGCATAGTAATTGGGATCCATCAAGCAAGGATTGGAACCATCCATGAAGGAGTCAAAATCGTAGGCATATATTTCGTCATCATGGTCCAAGGCATAATAGTCATCATCGTCAAAAAAGTCATCTCCATGACTTTCATAGGTTTCATCGAATGCCCAATCTTCCATCTTCTGATCCAGGTTCTTGTCATAGCCAAACAAGAGTTGTGGAACAGTACAAGCTCCATAGTCGTATAGTCTTGTAAAGTCGTACCTGGAGTTGTACTCTTGCTGCTGTTCTTCTTCCTCGTCGTAGTTTTCATGATACAGTTCCACACTGGCATTTGTAATGACTGCCACCCCGGTTCTCCATACATCAAAGGTTCCACTACCGGTAATCAAAATGGAGTGAAGCGTGGCATCTCCATGCAAACAGGAATCTTGTTCGATGCTCCCTTGAGACATGGCTTCCAAAAAGCGTGGAAAATCGTTATAGTACATCATACTATTGCCAATCATGGCTACCCGTATATGAGGCAAGGGAGTAACTTGGGAGGTGACAATTCCCACCAGGACAAAGGCAGTCAAGGCGGCGATAGTCATGTATTGTTGAAACCACCGTTGTCGGATTACTTTAGGCAGAATAATGCGTGGAAAGAGTCCTTGAAATGCCATGTTATTGCCGGCCGGGAAACTGTCCACTCCTCCCATACTGCTGCGACTTCGACTCCAAGCAGGTCTCATCAAACTGTTGTACGGGTGATCAATGCTGCTGCTTGTCGTGGGCAGAGCGGCGGGTGGAGTCTGTGCCTGTGGGGGTCGTGCTAGTGTGGGTATCATCATCATCATCATAACCTTGGGATCATTGGTAATAGTATCGTCATGTTCTTGGCTTTGGTTGCTGCTACCGGTATAACTTGGTGGTGGCCGTCCTCCGTCGTTTTTGTCTGCGACAATGCTGCTGACTGTGGTGGTGGGAGTTGTGGTGGTGGCAGTGTAGACCGATCGATCCGAAGATTCCAAGTTTGGCATGGAAGCAGCAGTGGCTACCGAATGAGACCCCGAGGTTGCGCCATTGGGATTCCAGGCAGAATTTCCGTGGTGGTGGTAGAGATGATGAGGTATCCCGGATTGATCGGGTGGAGACAAGCGCACAGGTCGTCTACTGAGGCTACTTGTGGCAGATACGAAATCCGGAGTAAGTGGAGAGGCCACAGCATGGTCGTTCCCTCCATCCTGACCTTCGTCCATTGAATGATACGAGGACAAGGGTGTTGAGGTCATGGTATCGACCTACTAGCTAGCTATTAGCATCTCTTCATGTGTTGGAGGAAACAAAACACTCCGAGCGTCGATTTTGAGCTTGGGCTCATGTCATGGCCATGAATGCCCCATGTCTTTAGCCTTGGTTGGGTGCGCTTCCGCAAAAGCCCGGTTGTCACGTCGCTAATTATCAACTCACTTACAATTCAATTGGAACTATAGCCGTAATTACCATGTTTTGGATCCATCTCCGTCGTGGCGGGCTAAAATTTCCCACATCTTTTGCGTTTGTTGTGTGCGATACATGTACGTCCCATTCATTATTGTCAGATCGTAGAGGCGGAGAGGGTGACGGTTGTAATGCGGATTATCTGGCATTGCTTCACAACCTGTTCTCCGCGTCTCCCCTCCAATGGAGTGGATCCGACTCAGCCGGAGGATGGTGCCTCGTGACAGCCCTTCCCACAATGCAAGACGTTCCTTGGAGGAGCCAATACTGAAAATGTCCAGCGTCATGCTTTCGTGGAAGGAGCCAGCAGGAGTCTTCCAGTAGTACAGACAAAATGTTCAGCGTATCATCGACTGCATGAAGCTGCTCTGGGCAGCGTTCTCGGCACCCTGCCCTCATGAAAATCCTCCCTTCACAACGCTCCACTCACAAACTACAGCCTGTGCAAAACCAAAAGGCACAGAGAAAGCAGCACTCATTCTAAACTGCGAATCCGCTCTACCATACCGGTATCAACATGACGTTTCTCTCAAATTAACGACTATTGACAATCTGGCTAGCTAGGCTGAAGACAATCACCCCAATTGCCATTTTCATGACTATATTTATTTATGCTGCTTTTCCGGCAGTGGTGCAAAGTTGAATCATCAGCCAAAAAACGACCTGCCAGAGACAACTTGGTGGTCTCTAGAGAGCCAAATTTCCAGTGCACAGATCGATGAAGGCCAACTTTGGATTTTCCAAGCAAATTGCTGAATCACAGGTTATCTCGGCTCGAACGGCTGCTTGAGCCTATGTCTGGAATGAAGTTTCGAAGACATGGCACTGCTTGTTTCTGCTTGGAAGTATATCGGATGCGGGCCTTGTGATGGTACCAGTTGTTTCGCAGACTGCTTGATTTCTGATTTTGGAATTTTATCGAACGTGGGCCTTGTTTTGTATTTTCAAAACACTGCGTCTGCTTGAAAGATCATGGGTGCACCAGTGATGGGATGACAGAGTGACAACTTGGCCGCGTGCAAGCATAGTCCCTTCTCGGATGCTAGATTCTGTACATTGCGATGCAATTCCTGATGCCACGCGGTCATGCCGGCCGCAATATGAGAGCCTCCCCCAAAGAGTCCTTCCCCGTCATATCCATAAATGTCATCTCCCACAATGGCATGCCCCAATGCCGCACAATGAACACGCAGTTGGTGGGTTCGTCCCGTGTGGGGTGTGAGTTGGACGCGAGTGACGGGAAGGTCGTCGTCTGATAAGTATTCCCAGGATACGACGGAAAGTGTCGTCAAGGATGGTTTGGCGGCCTTTTCAATCATTTTTTGAAATCCTGCATGGACTCCCAACGGAATGGTACTGGCACTATGATTGCTGCGTGGTTCGGCAATTCTCATGAAGGGTGGATGATGTGGATCTCGTTCCAACTCCATGGCGAGTTCCATTTCGGCCGGAGCGACATGTCCCACCAGCAGTGCTTGATATTCCTTGCGGACCCGCCGTTGTCGGAAATCGTCATGCAGCTGGGAGAGGGCTTGTTTGGAGAGGGCATAAACGAGAATGCCACTGGTGTCCATGTCGAGTCGATGGACAATCATTTGATCCATACTGTCGATCTGCCATGGCTGCAGGACGTCCCAGACCAATCCGGCCAAACTGGGGTTGCGTCGAGGCCCAGGCACACTGAGAATGCCGCCCGGTTTGACACAAACACAAATGTGGTCGTCGCGATACAAAATGTGCAAATGCTCGTGGCGATTGAGAGGACTTGAAGCGGAGTGTTCCTTTTGAATCTTTTGTTGCAATTGACGTTGTTGTGTCGGCGACAACGAGTCAAACTGTTGGACCAAGGTGGCAGAGGATCTAGACAGATTGTTGTCGTTGTTGGCAGTATCATGGATATCCCTTCTCTTGCTGTTACGTCTTGACAAGGCTTGCGTCGTGTTGGTAGCGCGATAGATTTGTAGAGGTAGCATATTGTGGCTGCGACTGCTAAACTGGTCGCTCGATCGAATCTGAACGGATCGCTCCATCAAATGCTCCGTCCATGGTGGAAGGCGTGGGATTCGCAAGTTTCTTGGCTCTGTTTTCTTTGTTGGAAGGGACACGTCCACTGTCATGAGTGGAGACGTCTGGGGTTGGAAGCTTGCGACAAAGTACAGGTGTGGAATAGCCAAGAGAAGACATAGCAGTCGTTGCTTCATCCTTCCACCGAATACACTTTCGTCAAGTCAGTCAAACTTATCATCAGATGATAGAAGACAACAACGAGAAAGTAGTAGGCCTACTGTGTTGACTGGAACTACTAGCTACGGTAGCTACCGGTAATACCATTGCTTTGGATCTTTGGATTTTGTGGCTTGTGGAGTGGCGAGACCTTTTGTGTGACACTGTGTGAATGACAGTCACGAATCGAATCGAATCGAATCAGCTCTGACGTCAGACTGAA